TGTGTATTTGTACCTGTTTGATGGCCGTCTCGCCGATCTTGTCCGAGTGTTTGCGGATGCTTTCCAGGAAGTCTCTCAGCTGCGTCATGGCCGTGTCCCGGATCTGTATCCGCAGTTTGGGGATGTTTTCAGCCATGATGGAGCAGAACCGGTACTGACCGGCTCGGGGAAGACATGTGGACTCCAGCTGCTCCAGCGTCCGCAACGCCGGGTAGTACCTGCATAAAAACACACAACTATAAGCCTCTAAACTTTAAAGACTTCCTGGGAAAATGCAGCGTGAATTTGCTGCTGAATATTTGCTGAAAGCTGCTGGAGCAGCTGAAACCAGCTGAAAAGTTCTCATAGCTAAACTGTTGAATTTGAACAGCTGACGTTTGCTGAAAGCAGAAGAATAAAAGCTGAGACCAGCAGGAAAAGAAGAAAAGTTGCAGGATAAATAAACTGAAATAGGCAAAGAGGCTGAATACAAAACATCTAAAGTTAACCAAAAAAGTAGCTTAAATGACAAAAACAAAGCTGAAATTAGTTGAAAGAGGCTGAAAGTTGCATGAACAGTTAAAGAGAAGCTCAAAAGGGTTAAAATAGCAACAAAAAATAGCAAAACAAAAAGCTAAAATTAGCAGAATGTACTTGAGTAGCAGAAAAAAGCTGAATTTAGCAGAAAGAAACAAACAGGAGCTTAAAAAGCTTAAATTAGCAGAATTCAGTTTCTTGTTCATTTTCGATGAGAAAAGTGGACGTAAAAGTTAAACGTCCAAAAGTAAAGAATGCACAAATACCAAGTCAGAGCAGGAGTCGTCCAGAACGAGCCGAACGTTTTCAGACGTGAATCGTAGAAATAGAACAAAGGTTAGGGCACGAGTTACGTGCCTTGTGGCTTTTGTGCAGGTCGAGCAGGGAAACGTGCACAACGTGAGTGTTCGTCCACACGTACAGCTGTGAAGCTCTGATCAGAGGAGACGTGAGAGAATTAAGAGCAGGCAGCGTCTTATCTGTCAAACAGAAACGGTCGGGTGCAGCTCGGAGACGTTTGGCAGCGTCGTCCGCTGCTGAAACTCTCCCCTGCGCGTGTCCAACGCTCGCTCTGAAGAACTGGCCGACCTCCCGCTGCTCTCAGAACGGCAGCCGCGGGACGGAGAAAACACCCCCACAAACAAACGACCAGCTTATGACCCGTCAGGGTTTTACAGGTCAGAGCGAGGACACGCAGGAGACCAACGTCCCGTCCACGGCTCCGTGGCGCCATCTGGTGGCTGCAAACTCACAGAGGTTCAGGAGCGTTTTTATTTTCTTTAACTTGTTTATTTTATTTTAATAACAGAGAAACAAACCCCTCGCCGTTTGTTTCACACTTTAAAAACAGTCGAGTTTATTTCTTCAGAACCTCCTTGGAGCACGTTCAGTTCATTTATACAGCGCCAAGTCACAACAGAACACTGAACAGAAACATTCATATATAAAAATAATAATTCAACACAATTTATCTATTATTTATTTTATATTCTGATCCTCGACGGAGTCCAGAGGAAAAACACAAAGTAAAAATCTTTAAATCCACGTTTGATCTCGTCCAGAGTTTCTCCAGAAATCAGCCAATCACACGCAACGCTTGTTAACGCCAATTCAACGGCAGTTTTTAAACATCTTACTGTTTCCGACCGTGAATAAATAAACTGCGACGAAGCTCCTGGAGAAACTTTGACGGGGACTGCCGCGCGGCGGCCATTTTTAAATTTAGATGACGAAACGCCCATGTGCATCTTAAAAGATGTTGTAGGAACGACAGAGTCTTGTTCGTCACGTGACGTCAGACTGAAGCGTTCCGTCAGTTTTTTCATGAGAAAAATGGCGTCTTCGTTGGTAAATTACGTCGCCGTGGTAACTCGAAATGCCAATAAAAGTAATCGCACCCATCACGGTACCGAGCCGGTTGTTTTGATACATCGTGGTGGTTCACATTGAAGCTGATGGAAGAGCAGGTGGCTGTTGCTTCATTAACGATGAATCTCCGGTCGTTAACGACGAAGTTTCTGTAGAAATGAGCTCAAACTAGAGAAGTCTTCTTGGTAAAAAGGTAAATTTAAATTTTATGTTTTTGAGTTTAATTTGGAGATTCCTTTTTTACGATAAAGGTTTTTGTGTTCGTCTTCATGTTACGATACGTTTAATAACGAATAATAAAAATAAAACGTATTGATCTCAACATTCTCAGGTAAAACCATCCTGCGTTAGAAAGTTGGACCCGTTGGCCACGAACCTGAAATTAGAACCAGCGCTGCCAACTCCAGCTGATGCCAACGTTTCATTTTAAAGCCAAACTTCTCAGATATTATTATCGATGATGTCAATTTTTACTGATCGTTACGGACGACGGTCTCAGTCATTCGGAGTGGCGTACCTTTTGGCGCTCATCTGCTCTTGAAGTCTGCTGTACATCTCCAGAACTGAAGAAACCAAGCAGAGACAAAACATCAGTAAAATTTTATTGACTCAAACCGACACGAGGACAGTTTGGCTGTGGTGGAATGAGCGTCAGAATAAAAGCTTTAAATAAGAAAAACAAAACGGTGGAATAATTAAATCATCGGCCTCCGTTTTCTGAGCTGAAGAGGAAATTAAAAACTACCTGAAACAGGTTTTTCCTGGTCAGAGGCAGCGCAGTGACAGATCCTGGCCAACAGAGGGAGCCGTTTTACAGCACAATGATGGAGGGGGGGTAATGGTGGCCTTGACCACCAGATTAAGCTATGGCCACCCCAATCGTTTGAGGAAACTGTACTTTAAAGCAATATAAAAACTAGAAAGAGTTTCTTCAAATGGTAGGGGTCGTTGGTTTACAAATATATATATGGTAGCGGCCATCTTGGATTTTAACTTGGCAACCCAATATTCAAAAGGAACTTTTCTCAAGCCTAGATCAAGGTTCTTTATCGTCATTCACATCACATATGGTACATGAGGTGGAACAAATATGTACTCAAAGTCCCAGTTACACCCCACAAAAGCAAAAATATAAAGTATTAAAAAGAAACTGTATCCAAGGATCTAAGATATATGCTTAAAATAATGTATGTGTTAAGCAGCATATGTGAGCAGAGTGAACAAGAGGGGGCTCAACACGTAGCCCTGAGGTGAGCCAGTGCTGAGGATTGTGGTGGTGGAGGAGAAGTTGTGGATCCTCACAGACCAACATGCAGCCACACACCAACATGGACGTCAGCAACTCGTTTTTCAAGTTATTTTGCTCACAACACGGATGGATGAACGGAGGGCATGTCCACGTCCTCAGACAGACCATGGACATCAACTTGTTACATTTATGGACCGAAAACAGACGAATCTGCTCATCTATCGGGTAAGATTGTTACATTAGAGCAGGATCAGCTGTTGTTGAAAAGTGCAGCAGAAATGTTACAAAAAGGCTAAATACTTGTTTTATCACGATCATGAATTTCTATTGAAAAAAATCTTCCTGTGAGCTGAAAAGCGTTAAAGCAAAGATTTTATTTACTAAAGCTAAAAGTCTGCTCGACTCTAAGTGACATCCGAGTAGACCTGTCATGATAAACAATAAATCAATTAATCACATGATAAATTAAAATCATCAACCTCATTTTCATTTATCGACTTCATCGTTTCTTCGTGTCTCTCTCTTTCTACTGAAGACACTGGATGAGAAAAG